ATAAAATATAATCATTGTTTCAGGAATTGGTTTCTCCGTAAAGCTGTGAAAGTATTATAATTCATTACGTATAAGTAAAAATAAATAAGCTTAACACCATGGATACAGTTAAAATATTAAAATGCACAAGCCCATATAATAATGTGAGCGCATTATTTGTATGGAGTACGTATATAGATACAAATAAATTAATATGCACAAACGCATTTTCTCATTAGAACAAAGATCAAATTCACTATGATATTTAATATGATTCAATTGCATTTCAAAATCCAGTATTATTTACATAATTTTATACATTTACATTTTAAAATATTAAATATTCATTATGTTTACTGTTTTACGTTTGAATTCATGTGATTTTTAATTTTCATAGTTTTAAATTTCAAATCATAACTAATGTAGCCATATGTAGGTGCTAAAAATTATATACGCTGACACGGTTTTAAACAATTATCCATAGATAAGTTACACGAATAATTCAATATAATATTGAAATGACGATTTATTCCAGAAAAAGTGAGAAATCTATCGTCCACAAACAGCTATAATACAAATTGTATGTATACTTGTGATAATAACTCCAGTACCATATCTTATCGTCATACTCTGAACAGTGTTATTTTATTTGATAATAAATAAATAGAAAAATGTATAAGTTCTCAATTAAATAGCTATAGGATAATTACATTGAATACGATAGACCTAGTCGTGTATTAATATTGTGCTGTGGTTCCAAGATAGGTAATAATTAGGTATGGTAAGGTTATAGTTTATAATAAGGCGGCTTATTACTAGTATAAACTCATTATTAGTATAAGCTTTGATATAGATTTTAATTCAGTCATGTAGGCACCTACTTTATAATCTAGCAAAGCGATTGTGATATATTGTGTAGCATGATGTATAAACTATAATATAGTTGTTATAGTTAAATTATTTATAAAATCGCATGCTTGTATTATCATTATAATAATATATCCATGTGGTGTTACTTGCGTTCTAATAAAATATATCTTGCCTATCATATTTTATAGCTATATCAAAGGTGGTCTCACTCACCTGTATGCATTGAATGCATATTTGCACGCGTGCTAAAAATATGTTGGTATATATACCTACTGTTACGTCCGTACCTATATTTACAATATTATTTCATAAATCAAGTAGCTCTACATATAGTGTTATGGAGGACGTTATATATTCAACTGCATAGATAATAAAACCAAAACGCTATTTCAATGCGCAAAGTCTCATTTCATTGGTATAATTTTTGAGTAGCTCGAGATCAGACTTGGGTGAACACATATCATAATGCAGTAGGCAGCAGTAGCACTCGTTCCGGATGCGATGTACGTACTTACCTAATGAAAAAGCAATTCCCACGAGCTCTCGCGGTTCAAACGAGGAAAAAAGGCCTTGGTCCTAAATATTTATTTCAGTTATTACTACCTACCTGGTTATACCTATATATTGCAAAAGGTGATCTGACGATAAATGATAAAATGTCAACAACAATAAATCATATATCACTATCTATTATATAGTGATATACACTACAATATGGTAGGTATTATTATAGTGCATGACGAGTAAAAGACGTGTATTGTTTTGTATCGAGTGTTATTCAAAATATTTAGTGACACAATAGCTAGTCAACAATAAAAATAAATATTATTTTTAGAAGCAATATTATCATCGCTTAAAATAATAGTATGTATAAATAATTAATATGGTACTATTATAATTACAATAACTTTTTTTTTTGCTTTAATTATAAATAAAAACGTTACAGCTGAATGTTCACACTACCTCGAAATACTCGGTCGATATTATGGCATGTAGTTTAAGTGGTATATGAGATCATATATACCGTTTTATAAATGGTATATATATTTGGGGAGATTTAGTTTTCCATCACTCCACACAACCCTTCAACGATACCATCATTGTCAACGTCGACCACAATATAATATAATAACGCTGCAGAGCAGTAACTTATTGTGCTATACACAATCCATAAAATATTATGTATGATGTAATACTATCATTAAATAGTGACTTAATATTTTTATGTCACGTGACTGTTTTACCAAACCTGTGCATTCAAATACATATACATAATGTATACGTACCCAGATTCAATCAATTATAAATAAGCATTAGTGGGAGCAAGATGCATAATGCGTGCATAATTAATTGTCATTATTTCTTTTAAGAACCCGTGAATAATTAATTATATGGTCATATAACCGCACATAGGTATGTGACTGATATGCATCCTACCGGCTACTTTTACGAGCAGACCGACACACTTGACAATCTTCGACAGAGAGTACTCGTTCAAGAATCAAGAATAGTTTTGCCGAAATTTCGTCTCACTACACAACATCATACATATATTATGTACCTATGCATAATGTTATATTATATAATACCCACTTATTCCATGGGCACGGAAAAGGTTCAATGAAAAGTTGTCGTTACAATGGGATATCGGACGTCCGTGAGATGGGAGCTAATGACCGTTTGTAAAACTGATGCCAATGGAAAATAATATTGTGGTTAACCGCTAACCACGTCCAATAACTACGTAAAGATATGCCTATAACCTATAACAATTATATGGACTCCGGTCGGTGGTTGTCTCGGCAGAGCTTACCGCGAGACAGGTGGCTCGGGCGTACGTTTGACCGCGGATTTATGAATTATAGAATCTCGCTGTGTGTAATTATATTTAGCCAATTGGCGAACGGGGGTGTTTAAAAACTTATAATCATTGATTAACCATTATATATTGTAGTCTATATTTAGATTTTCAATCTAAATAAAGGACTTAATAACAGATTATAATTGCGTTACTGTTATAAGAAATTAACTTCGCAACCGTTGGTTCTTTGGTCGGTATTTATTTTTTTTACATTTTCTATATCCATTATCCACGATATTTTATTGTGTAACGCAACGTAATTCCAGCCGTGAAACTCGATCCAAACAGTGGCGGACCGAACTTAACTTTGAAATGATGTATTTTCATAATTAAGTACTTAGCACCACCGCCTACCCCCATATTTACCTATAACAAAGTTATGATGTAAATAAAATGTGACCGAAAGAGCAAAGAGGTCAGATCTCAGCATATAATTTTGAGCCATAGTCACGGATTGGTCGAAATTGAGCCCTTCAGCCCGCCACTGCATGTAACCAATTGTTTTTACCTAGTTTAATTGTTATGTATTTTATGTATAATTACAAAATGAATAGGTTTGGAAAATTCAAGAAGCGTTGTTAAAATAATTGCTTTGAATTATTTTTAATTTAAAATAGAAATGATTGAACATAAATCTATTATTGTATTGTTTAAATTTAAGAAATTTGACGCTATCGCGATGTGACTTTGTGAGACTGCCGTGCAGTCGCCGCCGCATTTGTCTGGTAGGTACGTTATACTGGTACATTGGCAAAAACATACGTGATACAAATAATATGACTAAGCGAAATAAACAACATTCGTATCAAATTGTTCTTATAAAATACTTGAAAAGAATACTTGAATGGCCAAATATTAAGAAATCCATAAAAATTCCAAAAATAAAATAGTTTTAAAAAATGTACAAAATAATAATTTGATTTTTAAGATCACGACATCGGTGCGTGTGAAACGATCTTTGCGCTCGAAAAACAATGTTTTTGGGCTCCCTCGAAACAATGCAATTCACAATTCACATTAAAACCCGTGCCCCATAGTCGTTATGAGCAGGTATATCTCGCCGGACTGTCTCTCTAAACACCGCAATGCACGTACGCGTGCGAGACAAAAATTGTTTGAGATTCCACGAGCGGTCGTGACGTGGGCAAAAGTGTTAAAAAAAAAATACTCTCGTTTATGTCGGATTCCGAGTATGTACGATATATCATACAGATATGTTGGTGTAGAGGAGGTCGTCAAAAATAAGGTATTTTCGCGGAACGATAAGTTTGGCGCCACGCGCGACCCCGACTGTAGGGCACGGCACCTGTAGGCACCTATCGCCACATGGCGGAGCGGCGGCCTATCATTATAATCATCTGTGGTACGACAACGTTACAATATCATTGTGATAATATATTAATATATCGTATTGTATTATTGTAATTAATTTTGCCGTAAAAATATACAACAACATTATACGTATTATAGATTTTTTTAAATTCAAAGCATCTCAGCTTAACGAGTTAAAGTCGAGTTGAAGAAGGTTAATTTTATTTCAACTCTCTAACCTAACTATTTACTTTTAGGTTTCCCTTGATGTTTTTCAACCAACGTGAAATCAACGGGGGACTGACGATGTTGATGTAGAATCTTCGGGGTTTTTTTTCGAGTGGAATGGCTAATCAGCGGTCGGGGGGGGGGAGCTTGTTCCCTTGCCTCCCCCGTCGGTATTTGCACCAATGATTTACGGCAATGTTGTAAACAAAAACGAAAATGAACTTTTTTCAATTTCGCAGAAAATCGTGTACGAGATTTTAACAAAGTCGACTAATTAGTTGACTAGAAATTAAATGAACTTTTTCCTATTTTTTGACATTAAACTCGACCAGACCAAAAACAAATAAAATGAAGCCCGGCCTTGCATATCACTGCAAGTCTGAATTGTGGGTACTGGGTACTGCCGGGTGGGTATAGGTCGTCGTGACTCGTGATACTATTATATTATATTATATTTATTTGTCACGATGTGCTGTGCGACGCAAAAACCCACATCAGGACGGTGCGACTTCATTGGCCAGCTTCGCGTTCTCAAAGGGCGGCGGGAACTCGGTCGCCCGGAATTGTATCTGTTTTAATATTTTAATATTATATTGTTATTGTTGTTGATGTGTTGTGCACGCGAACGTCCGGCGCGCGGCGGTTAACGAATCACGATAATGCGCGGCCGAATGCGACGCGGTGTGAACGCTGCCTGTACGTCGGTCACGTAGGCCAAGTGCCCGATGCCGCCGCGCCGCCTATATATAAGACGGGTCCTGTGCTGTACGCGGTCCTTTACACTGCAAACGACAACCGCGACCGACACGCACTCGCCGACACACCGTCTACACACATAACCAGGTTGCTGCAGCACCACGCCGCGGTCCACCGCGCTTTTCGAACACTGCAGTTCCATAAAAACGCTCGCCCGACGACGATTTTGTTCCCGACGTCTCCCGTTCCTGTCGTCCAATTCGTCGACCGTCGACCGCTTTAGAGGGTATAAAATCGACGACGACCACGACGACGACGACGACTACGACAACGACAATGTGCGGAACGGCCAACCACAAGTCGGAACACGGACACGGTCATCCACACCACTTGTTCAGGGTGCCGGCAGCCCACGCAGCCGCCTACGAATATTTGGTCAAAGAGAACAAGGCGCACACGGCGGCTGACCCGAAGAAACCCGGTGACGTGCTGACCGCCCTCACCAGAAGCACCTTTGAAAAGTGCACGTCGTTCTTCGGAGACTTGAAGAAATCGCCGGCTTACAAGTGAGCATAATATTACTAATAAATAATACTAATAATAAATTAGGAAACCTATTTACGATGTCCCAAAGAGGTATATAGAAACCGTTAAATATGTCCGTCCGTGTCTCTAGATTCCATATGGGTAAGGATACTCTGAGACAGGTACACAATATTCAAAATATAATGTATTATTATTTGTTTCTGAGATAATAAAAAATATTTGGAAAAAGGTTCTGCCGACAAGACACGAATAATAATAATATTTTTTTTTATGTAATAACTTGTTTGAAAATTAATATGTTTAATAATGGTGGACCACTACCGCCGAGAAAATATGTTAACTCCGTCACTTGTGAAGAGCACAGAAATAATAATACTTACCAATATTTCAGTATTCCACTGATCCTTGTAGACTTGAAAGACGTTGAGGATGTATTCCTCAAAAAATAATTGAAAAATTAAAATATTAAAATATAAATTATTGTAATAATATTGTGGTAGTTAATCGTGCACAAACCTATTCTATTACTTATGTCCGTGTCCGAATTAACCACATTATTCCTGTACTTGTTTGATTGACGACCTCTTCGGAGTTCTAGGAAAATCGCTGTCTACTCATATTATTTTTCATTGACAATAATTATTTATCGTCTCAGCGATCCATTAAAATCATATTATTTATCCACTAGCGGGTTGTTCAAACTTGTTTAGCCTGTTTAACTCGCGTACGTCAATAGGCTGCATAATTGTTAATAATATGTATATAATGATGTGCATAATATTGTGTATACATTGTGCGTTGAGCGTAAGTCGATAGAATATATAAAGAGGCACTTAAACGTGTAACATTAAACATTTTCGCGTGTACGGTCGTCTGGAGTCTAGACGGCTGTCAGAATATTCTGGACGTTGCGATTCTCCGAGATAAAAATGTGAAATACGCCATTGTCGTCGTTCCGAAACGAGACGTGAGATGTGAAAGTTATATCCAATCGAGTTGGCCAATGTAGAGTAGGTACCTATAGGTAATCAATATGCATGTGGTTGCGAAAATCTTAAGGAAAATTATTAGGGACATGTCATGGACACAACCTACCTTTACATTATAATAAATGGTGTACTTTTCGCGATCTAAAAAGTTTAGTGTGGTTTTCTGAACACCGTTGAGTGTATTATATTTCGTATCATATTGTATTACACCTTTGTTTCCATTCTATAGGTACTCGAGCACCTATATTATAATATGTAAAACATCAATTTCGTTGCGTGTACACACATACATTTATCAAAGAAAAATGTTTGAACACAAATTTAATTAACATACTTTAGTGTCGTATTCTGTCGTGTTCTTGACAAATACATCACCAAATAGCTATTATAATGACGTAGGTAGCTTCTGCACGATCCATTTTATAATAATAATATTTCACTGCACAATAAACGGCATTGAAAATCGTCACATTTATAACACATTCAAATATGTTTTTATTTATTTGAAGGAATTTAGACCAAAATCTGTTTACACTTGACTCTTTCAAAACAATACTATATCTCGTATTTTACAATCGCAGTTAATGTGACCATGTAGGTATTATTTAAATATTTGTCCTTTAAAAGTAATACCAAAAAAAATTTGACCACGGCGAAGTGTAATAGCTTACTAATATTGCAATTGATGATTTTTAAAATTACTCGTTAATCATTAATCAGCAAACTCCAAACACCTAATAAATACTATTTCAAAACGATACGGCTTAATTTCTATAAACTAATTTTGCCTTGAACTGCCTTGACTTAAAATTAGACCGAATGATTCAATAATATTATTGTTAATAAATCCTCTAAACAAAAATAATTTCATTAATCATGTTCGACATACCTATATATACTCATATACTTAATATATGCTTATATTTAAAGTTTTTAACTGGCAACAGGCGACAGCCGACCAAAACATCCGATGTTTGTAATGGATGGACTTCGAGGTCAAATGTACCAAAAGTATTGAAGTGGTGGGCGGAGAAAGGGTAAAATCCTAAGTGACAAATTATTTTGGCTAGCCCAACAGTGTTTTCCAAAAAGGTATGGGTGTCAATAAGTGTCATAAATACATTTTCGAAGATAGGGAGAAAATAAAATTTGTTTCCCAACCCGAGAATTTGGTTAAAAGCTACAAAACAAAGTCATTCATCCAACATTTTAAGTCTGACCAAAAAATATTTCAGCTATACAATTTTAAAAGTAAATTATTTGGTTATTTCTGTTACATAACAAATAAATATTGCTAAATTAAAAAAACAATAACTGTTTTATAATTACTACAATGAGGTCGTAATTAATGTAGATAGTAATAACAGCATTTAAATGTAGTACTTGTGTTATAAAAAGACACTTCCTGTATTTTATTTTTAATAAATATTATACTTTAAAATACTATACAATTTATAAACCCAATTTTATTTTTTCAATAATTATTTTTAAAATGTCACGTGCCTTTTCCTAAACAGCGTTATAATAATAAAGTGAAAAATAAATGTTAAATTTGTCATGTATCTAGTTATTTATTTGATTTGAAGAATATTTATTTTTAAAGTGTATTTGCGGACCGTGGTACTTTTGAAACCATTACCGCGGGAGTGCATGCGACGCAAAATTAACCAAGCTTCAAAGTGAAACTTTATTAATAATACTCATAGTTAAATGCCAATTAAAACAAAAATATAGAACATCTGCCGAGTTAGTTTTTACGAGCCAAATTGTCTACATTTTTCAAAATTATTTAAAAATATATGCAATACGATTTCTTCAAAGTTCAATTCGTATCGATATTAAAGAAAATTGCTTGAATTTCTGAGGATAACGATTATTATGCACAATTTATAATGTGTTTATGCAAAACAAAATATTATGTAACTTACTACAGATACATAGATAGCAATAGAAACGCATACAATTTGTTGAAAGAACAATCCTTCTACACCCATAATGCATATTATATTCATGAGGAAATAAACAATATTACATTTATTAAATAATATGGATAAAAATAAACAGGTAACTAATAAATGTAAACAGAATAGTAGTTATGCATATCGTTTATAAAATATTTCTGGCATATTTGTACGTTAAACCTGTTAAATTAGACGCAATAAAGTTACATATTTGCTCACGCCTAGTAATGAGCAGACGGACATGTTATTATAATGACGTGCTAAAAAAAATTAAATAAAAATACACAATAATAATATTAAGAATAATTATACGACAAATAATTGTTTATTATAATAATACCTAACCAATTATTGGCTTTAGAAATGTTGTTGAGTAGGTACCGCGTTATAATCATCCGAAAAATCGCTGAATTTCGTGTCGAATTAGCTGTATATAGTTTACGCAATATCCAATTATTATTATGATCAATTATTTTATTATGACCGTTTTTCATCTCTCAGGGTATTGTTCTTTACGCAACCGGCGCACGTGATAATGGCGTTGGCCGTCATTCTGGTCGCCGCGTCCATGTTGCCCGGTGACATGAAGAAAGCGTCAAACGCCAACGGTGAAAGCGTCAAGCCCAGGACTTTCGTCAACTTCGTCTACCTGGCCGCTTTCTGCACGCACGTGGGCGCCCAGTTCTGGATGACATTCATTTCCGGTGAGTAAATAGTGGCCGAGCAAGTTGCAGGTGTTTTTGATGGCCTCGCCGTTTATGTAGAGGACCAAAACGTTAACAAAACACAACACAACGAAAAAAAATTATAATCGTCGACGATAAAAAAAAAATATTATAATAATAAAACTGGCACGTGTGCCTGCGTTTGCCATATTACGAACACTTCCTAATCGTAAATCATAATAATAATTAATAATAATGGGTAAATATTATATTATAGTCGCAGCCGGTACCTATAAGCACGTGCGACATTCGTGGATCGTGCGTGAATAAAAAGTCGATCGTCTCTCGATTGTGATTTTATTTTCTAACAGTCGTTTCGCTCCGCTCGAATATTAATAATAAGTGCTTATATAGATTATGGTTATCGTTTTAATATATTCATCTATCCAAAACCGCACATCCGCAATCGATGGTTTAATGTGAACGAAATGTATAGGTTATTTTTAACGATACCTGATCGAATTTATTGTCACATCAAAGGATTTGTATTATATCTATCTTTATAATATTATATAAATAAAAATTAAGACGAAACTATGCGCCCGACCTATATTATAGACTGCCGGCAATGCAATTTTCTGTATACACGTGTAAATCGTATGCGTATATACAAGTATATTATGATTCATTAATTCAATTATCGCAATTCACACGCATCGTTATAATATTATGTTATAGTGTATGTTAAGGTTGTACATTTTTTTTTTCGTTCCCCTTGAACTTTGAGTCGTACCTAGCTACTATACAGGAGAGTGCACTTTTTGTTATATATATGTTATGATATTTATAATAATATCTTGACTAAAATGTACGGATAGGTGCTTATACGTGCACCAAGTTTTATAAATATACTCGGCTATATTCTTATAGAGCAAACTCTCGAAAATATTTAATATTTTGAGTCTTAAAAATAACTGTGATTACGCGTGCAATAGTACCTACGAGATGACTATTAGGACGGCGATTCGCTTTTTGGGCATGCGAAGCATTAATTATATACACACGCTCGATGACTATTTTCCCCTTGTTTACGAGGTTTTTGGCAGATAATACGAGCAACGAGACGAGAAGTCATTATAAATTTAGCCGCTTAATTTATTGGCACCGGAATCAGTACATAGTCGTGGCGCTCGTTTTTCGGTTTTCAACTGTTCGACTTAGGTACGTGAAAGTATGGAACGGGATAATCAACACTCGTGAGGCGTGAACCAGCCACGGCCTCAAAAAACAATAATTTGAAAAATTTTGAAAACTTCTACTATAATAATCTCTAACCTACACGGAATACGGATGCAAGCACATTATTTAGAAATATAAATTTATACATGAATTATGGAATATATTTCGATAAATCCATGGACTTGGCTTAAATTATTATGTCAACGAGGTGTGCTTAATTTATCCCCGTAGGCTTGAGATATTTGAGTCCGGTTATTAATATTGCTCAAGTCCAATAGGGTTTTTGTTTTAGAATAAAACTATAAAGTGAGATTTTTTACTCCACTCCGCCGTCTTATATAATATGTATACTCAATTGAATTGAGTCAATTCTATCAATGCCAAAATTAATTTACGGCAATCATATGATTGAATATAAATTAACTATATGTTGTGTTTTTATAATAATACCTATTTTATGCAATTATTGTTACTAAATATTTAAGTCTATAAATTGAATAAAAGTAGAGCTTTAAATAACCGTCCTACATTCACGGTATACTTAAACACCTGCTCTATATACTCACTAATGCAGAGAGTATTATTTATTTATTTGTTTGTTTTCATTTCCTCAGGATTGAGCTTGTACTTCAATTTGGCCAGACACGCTTTCGGTGACGTCCAAAAGATTCTGTTTCCCAAATACTTTTCGCTAAACAGTCTGCTAAGCGCCATCACGCTCATCCAATTCGGCAAGATGCACGTCGCTGCCAATGTGTGGGACGTACACACGTATTTACAGGTATAAACAATATGTAAATATAATAATAGATAATAGTAATACTAAAAACAAGTTTATATCTTTGTAAAATTATTTGGACACAACCACAAATCATATATAGTATGCCTAAACTCAGGTCGCTACATTCAAGGTGTGCACCATTATACCAATATATACGTATACGTATAATACAGTAGGTATAATATATTGTACATTTATTTATAATAATAAATAGGCATACTATTAACATATTGAAATAATGGTATATCACCCCGTGTCTACAACTCACCACGAATGTAGCGAACAGAGTTTATTGGCATATACTGTGCGGTTGGCGATTACATCCAAATTATTTGTCGTTAAGTCATTAATCATAAGGTCTTAACACTGCGCCCACTTTTAATACCACCAATATCGCGCTCATCCTGATACATCTGCAGGACTCTCCGTGTACACGCACGTTTGTAGGTAGGTCGTTGCAGGTAGTAGGTACACTACAACATGACTGGCCGTAAAAAAAAAAACAGAAAATATACTCGACGTATTAGGCAGTATTGTGTATAGGTATTTATGGGTAACCAGGTAGCCATATTATTGTAGTGCGTTATATATTATATTCTGGACAAATCATCGCCTGGTTCTAGATCCACACATTTTCGAACGTTGGTAAATATTGTGTACGGTATTTATGTAGGCGGGCCCGACAATAATTCAGTACACGGCAGTAGATCAGTACGATACCTATACAATTATTACCATGAAATAATAATATATTTTATTTACGGCCTCCGGTTGTGCAGGGTGTTGTAGACGAGGACACGTCGTTGACAGTGATATATTATAACGACGAATTGTTGACTGTTGTGAATGTGGATTTTTCTCAATGCGCGACATCTTTATCTCTGATCTCTGCGAAGGGGTTTAGGCGCCTATTGTGTACAATTTTATTTTGTACCCGGGAAGTCGGGACCCATATCTGTGTTTGTCCGATGCACAGGTAATATATTATAATATAATACCTATACCATACTGCGTTACTCTGGAACAAGTAATATAACCCGTTACAACAATAATAAATTATCGCTTTATGGGTACACGTTTGACTGTCAAGTCGGTTTTGTCAACGCATTAAGTGTTATAATTGGATAATATACCTCAATAAACCTTTTAGACGCAGTCTCAATGCATCTTTAATACCATATAAAATAAAATATTATACTTAATGTGTGCATGTTCAACGTTCATGTATATGATTTACTCGCGACAAACATAACTTGACAGCCGCACTGCCGCAGTCATATTCATTTACAAGTTATCTTCATATTCATGTTGCAACTCGCGTAGGGTGGGTGTAGGCGTTTACATTCAGTATTAAATTCGAAAGCAGTTTTTCAGAAATACGATCTTGCTGGTATCGTAATATCTGGTGAACGAGTTAAGGACAAGATACAATAAGATAAATAAATATAATATACCTACAGTCAAAGCGACATCATAAAAAATAAAATGCCATATTATATTACCTTTAGACTTTCAAATATAATAATAACTAACGAGTAAATATTTATTTATTTATTTAATAACAATAACCGCTGTATAGCTATAATTATAAACCAACAATAATTTAATATTTTAAGAAAAAGAAAAAGGAGAGGTCCAAATTGACTTGTGACATGTAACGACGAAGTGGTTGGTTTTTATCATAAAAAATAAAACTTTGGGATGTGGAATGGAACAGAACGACGCAGTCTGATGCGAGAAGATGCTTTTAAATTAATTTTTGATAATAATGTAGAAGAATAACAAAATCAAGTACATTTTTAACTTCGTGACTACGATCGGCTAAAGCAACTAAACGTCAATGTGCCAAAGCGGGGAAGTTATCATGGGTAATATAGGACGAACCATGGTTCTGCAACTTAGGTGGTCTCGAGGAACCGTAACATCCTGACTAATATCTCCCTCCCCTCGGGGAAGTTGAAATCTATCCTGTTTATACGTTAAGCCTAAAACCAGATATCCATCAGACGTCTCGCTCTGCAGATTACATAGGTACCCACATCATTAATATTATGACTATATTTATAAGCTGATTAACGATCACAACTTCAGGCACGTTGTAGATACCTGTAATATGGTGCAAATACCGCAACAATAATAATTAACGACGGCCAAAAATAATAGCGTTTTTCTCGTTTATTTGTCCGGACAGTTGTTCGTGTTGAGCCTGTGCTTCCTGCTGGAACTGATGATTCGGCTGTACGTGGTGCCGCCGCTGTTGCGACTCATCACCGTCAAGACGGCCATCGAGAAGTCTGCGGGCGTCGGCAACGAAGTGGGCCACTACGACCTGGGCCCGCTGGTCGACTGCCCGCATTACATGGCCATCCACAAGGCCTTCAGGCAGGTGCATCTGTTCGTGGGCATCGGTAACGTGGTCACCATGATGTGCACTGCCTTCCACTTGGCGTACATCGCGGCCTAAACTCCGCCACCGCCGCCGCCGCCGCCGCAGCAGCAGAACGACCGGAAATCTTCCTCCCCCCACACACACACACACAAAACCCACTCGCCGCGCATTATTATTGATATTATTTATATGATATAATACACACACGCACACACCAGTAAAATGTGTGTGTATGTTACAGTGACGGCGCCAACATATGCCCGCGGATACAGTGTCATCATACGACACACTAGGCATATAGCTCCGCCACTGTAACTCATATGATAATATCATATTATATTATTATATTTTATGCCATAATACTATACATACTAGCGATATTACTACCACTGCTACTACTACTACTTCTAGTTACTACTACTATAACTACTACCATATAATATATTATATCTGTTGCACGCGCCGCCGTGCGCTCATATAACACATACATTATGTTTTCAATAATATTGCTATATATACCTACCTTATATACACGGGGTCATCCATAACTTAACTGGCTTTTTCGTTTTTTGTTGTTCTTTTTTTTTTTTTTGTTGCTGTTTTCCACTGCCGTTCCGTGTATCTCCCTCTGTATAGTTCAGTGGAAAAGTGGTTATTTTGCTTTACGCGAACGACGGCGAAAATTAATTTTACGACGATTCAATATGCACACCTGCACAATATGTGACGACAATAATACACTACGCTATTATTATTATTATTATTATTATTATTATTACTACATTCACGTTCACACGCGTCATGATGACGCACAGCAGTATAATATTAACGTATAATGTACCTAAATAATGCGATAAAGTATATTATTTAATATCAATTTGATTAAAAAACGTCGTCGGTCACTGGCCGACCAAAGTATGCAGCGTACATATGGTCAGAAATCTTAGGGGGAGGAAACGTCAATTAACGCGTGTTAAATTTATTATAATGTAAGCTTACGAAGTTATGAGTTGGGTTAGGAAATATTTGGGGGCTTCAGGGGGGGATTTTAATAGTACCCATTATATTCATACAAGAATACGCCACGCCGGACTTCCGTCCGTCTTGGTGCGACTCGACGAGTTATACTCCCGACATATCCGACTCCTCTCATTATAACAATATCATAAAATTTGTATAACATAACTCGGTGAATATTAAAAATAATAATGATAATAATGATAAACACAGGTTGGATGTTTTCAAAATGTATCGTTCAAATAACACCTATGCTGTATATAGTTATTAGTAGCCCGCGGCGGGCGCAAAAACGAATTGAATTCACAACAATATATTTTAATACGCACTCCGTACACACGTATAATAATAATAATATTATAATATATTGTTTATAAATGTGTACGCAGTCGTATTTGTCGAACGGTTCCTTTTTTATACCGCGTTCGTTCGCATAACATAGGTATATAATATAATAATATGTCTTAGTAATAAATAATCGGAGTGCGCGAAACTCGTCAAGAAAGACTGCAGTGTATTTATTTAAAACGTAATCTCTATTTTATTTTTATCCACGCGTCTTGTGAGCAGATCGATATTAACTTTTATAAGTGATTTTTTTTTTTTATAACATATTTTATTTTCTCTTAGTTCCTATATTTATTGTTGCAAGCGTCTATAGTTGTACGTAATATATATATATATATATTGTAACACAATAAAATAAATATATTGTTATTTATTAGATAATATGTATAATATTCCTTTAGTAAACATAATATTATATTTTTCCAACTGTACCTACACGCCTGTATCCTGCAGATATCAAATACTATGACTAAAATGGTATCAAATACTAACTGTATTATACTGTTTTAGTGTTTTATGTAGCGGACGAAAAACACATGTTTATGGTTATATATTTTATTGTGCAGTATAATATACCTATAATATGCCTGTAGGTATAAAATATATACCGTGTAATCGAAATAACAAGGAAAAACCAAAAATATTGAATTCAATTAGGTATTATATTTCATAGTTTTTATTGTAAATTACTATCAGTTGCCAGTGTACCGATTATATAATATTTGGCTGTGAAAATAATAATAGATGTTAAGGCCGGGGCATAATTTGAGTACACATCGACTAAAGTTACAGCTGGTAAGTTTATTCCTAGAAATTAATATTTTACTCTAGCAAAGTACAAAAACCGATCGCATTTGTCCGAATACAACTACAGTCTACAGATTGTAATGTGGCATTTTCATAATATTTTGATTTTTGTGTATTTGAGCACAACCACATATCATTCAAAAAATTGAAACAGAAATTTTGGACGATGTACATAATTAAATTCTGGGCCCAAAACCTATATTATAGCCTAATGGAGGGCATTTAAAATAATTTTATTTAAAAAAAGATTATATTGAAACAATGAAACGCATTGTTAATTTTTAATTTTAATCCTAAAAAAATTGTAAATATACTTACAGTGAGTCAGTGAACCAAATACTAATAAATTCGTTTCATACATCACATAATTGAAAACATAAACTTTTGTTAGTCGTTTTTCGAGCATTTTACTCTAATTTTGTTAACTTCTAGTGTATATTTACACATTGTATCGATTAAACTTGATTGGAAATTCAAGAATGTTGTTCCGACCATTATATTTAGTGATAATCCATTAATAGTGGTGCTGTTTTCGAATTAATTTAAATCTAAATAATAATACTTGCAAATGCCATTAACGGCGTAAGGTTAGATTAAACCCCACTAAACCCAACAATTCAGCTCGCAGATCTGACTGTACCCAGGAAAAACGCCATGGGAACGCATTTGACGAGCCACGAGCTGCACCCTATCATCCTCATCGGCGCTCACAGGGGGTGCCAGGGGTCTTTCCCTCCACTATTTTAATTATTATCAATCGTTGTATCACTTAATACTAACTAGCAAATGATGGTCTGTAAAGATCCAACTTACATTGTGATGAGAATGAAGCAATAAACTGTTAAACACTTAAATACTTAATAGAGAATTAAAGAAAATGTATTTAATTTGAAAATGTTACCATCTATGAAAAATGGATATTGGTTATATTAACATTTGATAAAATTTTAAGTAGTTATCTATACCATATATATAAAGCTATTAGCTTTTGAGTTGCACCAAAATAATAAAATCAGTTTTGCGTAATAATTTCCATTTATCCTGATTTTTTTTTCGGCTTATGAAAACTACTGAAAATTTTCAAATTTGACCTCTCTCATACACCAACTAGATTCATTTTCCTATCAGAAAAGATGCTCAAGTAAAATAGGAGCCTTTTTATTATCTACCCCAATAGTTGATGACAAACAGGAAAAATTATCGTAAAATCAATGCATTCATCGTTCAGAATCTAAAATTAATTTGTTACGATTTGAACATTTGAAAAAAAATATTTGCTGTTGCTAATGACCCAAAACAATGATCATAAAGATGGGTAGGGTTGGTTCAAGCATAACCAAAAAATAAAAAAAGTTGTAAATACATCTAAGTACTATAAGTATTAAGTTGCCTACATAATACATATTAATCATTTACTAATTATTCCTTAAATTAATATGTACCCAAGTGGAATAATCCATTCATCTATCACATTTATTATACTCTAAAAGTCTAAAATATACCTATGATTTAAGTACAGTATAAATAACAAACAATTAAAAGGTTAGGTTAAATTTATAATAAATTAAATTTCTAAAAATATACCAATACCACCTACCTATTATGGTGAGCCGTAGGTACCAAATAAAGTCAAAAATTAAGTTCTAAAAGTTAATGTTGTAATAGTTTATAGTGATTACTGATTATTTTTTTTTTCATTAAAGTAGGCCGAATGGATCCTAGTCCACCCCTGATTCTCACCATCTTTCAATGAATAAACATTGATATGTTGAATTTGTTGGAATACTAGGAATTTATTTTTTAAAACTTGTATAAGTAATACAATATAATAGGTCTAAAACTACTTTAAAAATTAAATCTCAGTAATTAGAGTTCATCTATAGGAAAAATTAGGCAGGTACCTACCTAGGCAGCTAGATTTTTCTAGTCTCTGTAAAGCGATGTTTCTTAAACTTTTTTATCCGTGGAACCTTTTTTTATGTGCACATTCACCGTGGAACCCCAACTTCTTTTTTAACTTTTTTTGTATTGAGCTTTTAACAATATAAGTTATTATAGCTTAACCATTAGAACCACTACATCGTTTCAATACTTTCAATGGGTCATTTTATGTAAGGATTATTTGCAATAAAAGTTAAAATGTGTCAGAATTTAAAATTTAAAAAAAAAAAACCACAAGTTACGTGGAACCCTGAAGTGACCTCCACGGAACCCTGGGGTTAAACGCTGCTGTAGAAGACTGCGTCATATCAGAAGATAACTAAATATGAATATTTCATTAAATTATATTTATCAATTCAATTACCAACTATTTAGTCAATAATCTGTATACTTACTGATTAGCCAATAGGTACAGACATACAGTAAGTCCTATAGATAGCTATTAAAGAACTTTAATATGTAACTTAAAAATATTAAAAATACATATACAAATGTCAACGAAATTCGTCAAAACTACAAAAAATTTTAAGTTACGTATTTTGTAGTTACTAATGTATAAAATGTTCGATTTTGTTAGTAACACAAAATTCCTCATAAGTTATTATAGTAATTATTTATAGTTCAGATTGTAACTCTAGATATAGTCTATATAATTAGGTACCTACCTTCTATACAAAGTACTAACCTACTTTTTTTTTTACTAGCAAATCCTACACGTCGGCTATAACAAATTAAATGCCTATAGATTTAACTCAGCAGTCATAAAGTAATTGAGATAAAAAAAAAAATTCAGGGGGTTCAGAACACTTTTTTAATATAGCAACTGGAAACTTATCGTTTTTACGTTCAAAATATAAACTCTTGTCTACTTTTAGAAATTTGGGGGGTCCCGTCATGGGGGGCTACAATTCTCCATTCAGAATCGTGCAATGATTTATCATTGAATTCGAATGTTACACATAAATAACAGTGGTTTACTCAACTTCGTAGGTACACTCGACTCTTAACTGTACAGCTGGGCGAATGTAAGTTCCGACTAGAGACCAACCTAACTACCAGGTTAAAAAATATGTTAGTTCCTATACGATAGAAAAAGGTACATAATATGTTATTATGTTATAAATAAGTTCATAGGTACATTCTACACGGTAAAAATATGTATTTTAGTGCTTACGCCCTACACGAATATAATAATGAGATGCATAAGTATAGTAGTACTATACTGTACTGTTAATGAAAATACATGCCTATGAGGTTCCAATAGTTTACTATAAATTGAATAAAGGGTCAACTTTTTGTACTTACTACCAATCTAAGATAACAAATCTATAAATTTAAACATGCATATAATTATTGAGTTTGGTTTTGATGAAAATATTAATATTTATTACTAAAAACATACTTAGTATACTTAGTATTCATATGTAGTATGCTAAGTCTAGCCAGAAGTAGAAAAACTAATTTAAAAGTAGCAATTGATACTTTTTTTTTGGTATACAATATAAATCAAATTAAATAATACTTTGATATTAATAATCCTTGATGTTATCTGAAAAGCTTTCACAACAATACATTTTACACCCAATAAATGGTACTGTAAAATATAATACAATTATTACTAACTTAATTAATTTAAATGAGTAAAAAAAAACAAAAATTAGATAATATTTATTATTTTTAAGATTAATAATATTTTTTTATAAATGAATTCAAAGGATTTACAGAAATTGTATAGATTAAATCTTGCATATACACATACAAATAATTATTTACAAACTTTTTGATTTCTTTTGGAAAAAACACATTAGTAGAAACCAATTGAATTAATGTTGTAGTAGGATATAAATATTCTAATATTTATCGCAATTATTCGCCAACCTCCATAGGTGTAATATGATTATCAGATGCCAACCCTGAAGAGTCTCTTTGAATCGTTTCATAAATAGTATTCAAATCTGGCGAATTTTTAATTTGACATACAAATTCATTCATATGTGGATTCTTATCTAAAATATATATATAAACATCCACAATTAGTAATATTAATAATACAACACATAGAAATGTATTTTTTTTAGGTATAAATATAAGATACTACATTTATAAAGGTGACACCCATAATACATACATTGAGTATAATATTTTATGACTAAGAATATAATATATTAAAAATGTGTATTTTATTTTATATTTAATTTACCAGAATCGGGTATAGTTTGTAAATTAACAACTGCTCGCATAGCAGATCTCTTGAGTTCTTCCATTTTTTCAAACTCCTGTTTTACAGAGTTTGCTTTAATTTTCA